TTCTTTCTTTCTTTCTTTCTTTCTTTCTTTCTTTCTTTCTTTCTGTTTTTTGAAACAATGGTTCACTACATAGCCCAGGCTAGCCTGGTATTCAAAATCCTCTTGCCTCAGCCTCAGTGCTGGGCTTATAGGCACGTGACCCTGTGCACTGTTAAATCACTCTTTAATAGATGACCCTGGTGGCACACGCTGGTCTTGGCTCATCTTAAGCCTTCGTTCTGGACTCAGAACTGGCTAGAATCAGTCTTCAACTGAGATGCCTGTAAATGATCGATCGGTCTGTGTCATCTAACTACGGGGAGCAGTGGTTGAGCTGAGGCACGTGGAAGGTCCCTCAGGGTTCGCTTCAAAGGAGCACTTGGGTCAGGGTCTTCTTTATGGAGAGCCCAAGCCCAGACAGGTTCGTGACTGACTCAGTCCTCCACGAAATGAGTGGCTTCACTGGTGGATGCAGAGCAGTAAACTGGGAAAAGCTCTTCTCTGCTGCCACCTTGTGTTCATTTAGGAAAATAACAGTCTAGCAGAGGTTAAGCGTCTCTTTCCCCAAACTCTCCTACAAGTGGATGTGTGGAGCCTGGATGTGCCTTGTGTGCTGCCACCCGTGTATTAGAGGATGCTTGCTGACTGGTGAACTCAGTGAGATGAGATTTTCATGGGACCAGGCACATTGGAAATGTAACTCTGGCTCTGACCTTTGCTTACTGTGTGTCACCCTTTCCTCTTGGTGCCCCCACTGAACAGTGTCCTGAAAGAGCTTCTTTAAGTCACAACAGTCAGGGGTGAGAAATAAGTTTATTTTTCAGGTAAAGAGGCAGCCCAGAAGAGACAAAAAGGAAGCCAAGAAGCTGAGCAGTTGGCAGGTCATAGAAAGAACAGAGAGGCCTGCAGGCCCAGGGAAAGCAGAGGCAGGCTGACGGGGGATTCCCAAGCTTGGCCTCAGATTGGAGTTAGATGGGCTTCCAGGGACTTAGCCCAGGTACAGCATTTGCAAGAGTCTCTAAACACCAGGCCTGGGGGACAGCTCTGCTGGAACAGCCGCCCTCCTCCGAAGTTGTAGTAACTGGACTTTTCTCCAGGGTTGGGGTAGAGCCCATCAGCTTTGCCTTGGCAGAAGTTATCTAGCCCTGGGCTGGCTCCCTGCGCTGGCTCAGAAGACTGGTGTGGTCCAGGGACTTCCTGTTCTGAGCTTCTTGGAGCCACGGATGGAAGACCTAGAAAGGCAAGGATGTTGCCCAACAGATTCCAAAACACAGGTGGGAGCACACAGCAGCAACCACGGGAGGCAGCAGCCCAGCAGCCCTCATCCTACATGCAGACCCCTGCTACAACTACAGCTGGGCACTGCCTGGAAGATGACCTGTGCTACATAGGAGCAGGCAGCTGGTGACCACATATCAGCTGTGACACCCAGCTATGCACCGATGAGAGGCACCTAGGAGTTGCATACAGCAGGGTGAGAGGTGGCTTTCTTCTTGATAAGAGCAAACAGCCACCCTTGGTGAGACCTTAGGAGGGAAACCCTGTTACCACATTCCACCCATCAGGCATTGCCAGCGAGAAGCAGGAAAGGGTGTGAAGCACATAGTTTCAACAGTTTCCTTAGCTCCTCGTGTGCATGAACTTTGAGAAATCACAATATTCCTCAGGAAGGCTTATGAGAGGGGAGGGTGTGCACCCTATTCTCTGAGTTAAGCCTGTTGTAGATAGCCTCAGCCTTGTATTTTGATGCTAGTTCCACTTTCCTGGCAGGGGCTGCAGAGGAGGAGTGAGTCTGTACACAGGTGACTTCTTGTGACCCTTCTGTCCAATTAAATTTGTAAAATAAAGGCTAGAGTCAGTGATTGGGCAGTAGAAGGGGAGGTGGAGAAAAAGCCTTAGGGGAGGAGAGGGGAAGAGGAAGTCGAAGGAGGAGGAAGTCGACAGAGGAGCAGGAGGTGGAAGGACAATGGAGGAGAAGCACGTGGTCTGGAAAACCCGCAAGTTATAAGGGATCTCATAGCTGGGGAATAGAGTAGTGTAATGGTAAATCTGCACAATCTAGGCGTGCAGTTTATACCCGTAATTATTGAGTTGTGTTTTCCTTGACTGGTCTTATTTGGGTCGGAGATTTACCTCAACATAAGCCCCTTAAGCCCCTTAACTCACTCAGCTCCTGCTGTAGCGTCCGGATGAGAGGGTACTGGCCCTGGTTGCAGAAGGAACCCTTGAAGTCATCCAAGTCCAGGACCCAGACCATGGCCCCTCCCAGCCCCTTCTGTTTCAGATAGGCAACCTGGGGGCATAAGCAGATGTGGGTTATTAAAAAACTGTCTTCTGGTTGTTATAGGTTCAGTTACCACAGGGAATCATGACTCAACTTTCCCAAAGTTCTGAAGCCAGCTTGGCCTTCATGTCTTCATGTCCTTGTTACCCAGAGGTCCCCTGGAAGGAATACACTGAGCCATGCTTTCCCTCAGAGAGCACCATGATGTTTGTGGCAAGGGCTGGGAGCTGACCTCACTCTTCTTCATGGGTCACCTTGTTCTCATGGTCCATCCCTTCCTTCTACATCCTGAATGCCCACACAGTCTCTTCCCTGGATACCTGCCTACCTTCTGGGCTTTAGGACTTGCCCCAAGCACACTTCCTCTACAAACTTTCCTCTATGAACAGTATCTACTCTTTTCTAGATTCCCACAGAGTACATCATCTGCGTTTCTGAGAGACCCTGCCTGCAGCTGTTTGCCCCAAGAGGCCTGCTCACAAACAAGGGTAGCTCTGTTCCCTTCAGGAGCTGAGGATCTCCTCAGGAAGAGAGACCAGGAAACACATTAAGGAGCCCGTATTAGACAGGATGAAAGGGTCCTGTAAGCAAACCAATGACATACATATGTTCCAAATGTGGCCAGAGACTGGATAAAGTCACATGTCCTAATATGCATATTTCTCCTTTCCATGTGTCTGTAGAGTTAGTATTTTGGTAAAATACAACCTTGTTAAGAGGACTACTCGATGTACCCCCTTCCCCCTCTCTCTTTCTGTTTTTCTGTACTGGGGATTAAATCATGGGCCTTGTACATGCCAGACAAGCGCTCTACCATGGAGCTGCACGCCCAGCCTTCGTTGCATCTTTATCAATAGATGATAAATGCTCAGGATGCTGTCACATGAAGAGGGTGAAATGTTGGGACATTTACAAGAACACTCATCCTTGAAGAGAATTTAAGTGCTGATGTTATTGATAGGCCTCAGATCCGCCTGGGGCCACCCCCTCCCAACAGGGCTGGGCCTCACCTTGGCTCGGAAGCTTTCCATGTCATCAAACCCCACCCATTGGTTGCCCTGGAAGGCATAGGGCACCTTCTGGTCCTTGATTCTCTGTACTTCCTTCCAGGAGCAGACCTGCAGGAACAGAGTTGTGTTATGGGAGAATAACACTAGTAGGTACTGACAAACAAGCCCGCTTCCAATTTAGGCTTAAAAACCATCTTATAGTAAACACAAACTAGGCTCCTTCCTATTTATGATTAAATCTCTGTTTCTTGAGGACTGGGCTATGCCCCACCTGTAACCTTAACTACAAATGGTTCTGGACTGTCTGTTCCAGAAAACAGCAACCATAACTTTGTTTCAAAAGTGTTGCTGTTATTGCCCACCTTGTTATGCCCACTCATTGTTATTGCCCACCTTGCAGCTGTGCCTTTGTTTCAGGAGGTCATCATGACTAGCTTGTAATGCTTATGTTCTGCTTCTGTGACCCCACCTGCTTGCCTGCCAAATCTCCCATTTGGAAACTGCCTATGCCTAAACTATAAAACCCCTTGTCTTCCCCATGTCCAGTGCTGACTTCTTGAACCCTTCCTTAGGGGGAAGTAGCCTGTGTACACAAATTTTAAAAAATTGCTTTAATTAATTGCTTTCTTTAATTAACTTGGCTCTGATGGTTTGGGTCAGTGGTCTTTCTGGAATCTTTGGGAGTAATAATACCTGTCCCGTCATGCCCAGAGGAGACCAGAGATGAGAACATTTCCATCTGAGGAAGCCTAGAGAACATAGTAGGTCTGTGGAGTCACCTAGGACTGCAGATTTAAACTTTAGGCTTCCTAGCTTAAGGATATACACAAGGGGTCCAGGATGGGATAGAGTTCCCTTGGCCAGAATTATCCATGCAAAGCATCTTTTCTCAGAAACTACAGGAGAAGCCCCTCTTAACTATCAGGAGTCCTTGGACCTTTAGTGTATTCAGGATAGCTAAAAGTCGTCTTACCTCATAGTAAGCCAGTATCCCTTTGTCCTTAGTATAGGGACCTGGGGCACCAGGCCCTGTGGCTGGGGCCCCAACTTGGTTGTCTGATGAGGAGGCCAAGGTGAAGGAGCGTCCATAGGTGGGCATGCCAAGGATCAGTTTGTTGGCAGGGGTCCCCTTCTGCAGCCAGAGGTTTACAGCAGCATCCTGGAAGAGAAGGGGCCTGCTTATCTGCCTTTACCTTGGTTCTGGTTGCCTGAGAATAGGGTTCTAGAGGGAACAAGTGGGGCTGGCTCTCCTTTGCTGGGCCCCGGGCTATTCATAAGCATCTCATTTATACCCATCTTCTTTCATTTCCACTTTAGACTCCTATACCCTATGAGAGAGAAGCTGCAAGGTCTAATAGCCAGATTTGGGGCTTTGGAACCAGTCAACCATGTACCCAACAAATAGTCACCGACAGTCCCTTATGCACCAGGCTCTTTCCTCGAGGCTTGGAATACATCACTGAAGAAAGCAGACAGGAATTCCTGCCTCACTTGGCAATGTAAGGGCGTACTGTGTACGTGAGCCTAGCAGAGGTGACACAGGAAGCTGTGACATGTTCTCTGTTAACTAGTATGGTGATAAGTTTCACCTGAGAACAAGACCAGAGACTTGGGTTTGCATTCCCAGTGTCTACCCACCATCATGTGTTAACTGATGTGTAATCTTAGGCTTATGGCTGGAAGAGACTTTTGATCTAGTAATACTGAATAACTATTGAAAGATGAAGATTTGTCCTTAGGGCCTAACCTGTAGCTCAGTGTCCTCATGGTGAGTCTAGGCCTCTCAGGTAAAGACAGTTTGCATTGCATTGATTTTTTTTTTTCATTGGTCTAAATAAATTACCCATGATCAAACCTCAGATTTCTGAGAGAAAAACTCAGGTCCCTGAATGACACATTTTATGTATGTTTAGACAGGAGACTGGCCAGAAGCAAATCTCAGACGTGGAATTGGTAAGTAGAAGACATATGGTCAAAGGCAAAGCTCTCCCTCTTCCAGCCCAGAGAACATGCGGCGGAGGGATGTCAGCCCTAAACAGCAATCAGCTTTGCGATTTGTGTCCTCCACTGGACTGAGCTTTTTAGCTTCCTACAAAACCCATTGTTTTCCAGATGAGGTGAGCAGTCAGGCCTGAAGTGGCCCTCTAGCCCACAGTATGAACTTTGTGAAAGAGCCAGAGAGACAACAATGTCCTACTCCTGCCCTCACGGAGATACAGGACACCAAAGCAAAAGGCTTTCCAAATTTAGGGAGTGCTGTGATTGATGGTTGTCTTAAGAAAGAGAAATTGTATTGTTATCCTTGACTTGTGACTATTGACTGGGTGTATATAAGCTATCTAGACTTCTCAGGGAGAAAGACTTGGGCGGGAAATCCCAGCTACAGTTTAAGACCAGCCTGTCCTCCCAGGGCTTGGGTTGCTCCTCCCCAAGTGATGTTCCTTGCAGTGTTATCAACCTTGGGCAAGGGATGGATGTGAAACACGTGGGATCCATATTGGCTGTAGAGCCAAGAAGCCTTCCCCATTGGTCCCCTGTGTGTCTGATGTCATTAAAATGACTTGCTCTGTTTCAGCAAAGATCCTGCAGAGAAGTGGCACTTTCTCCTCAGAAGTGGCATGGGACAGAATAAAAAAAGCAGACAAAGACATCAGGAAAACCCTGGTCCTGGGTGTCTTACTTAGGTTTCCTGTTTTTGCTTTCCATTAGGGAATTGGGGTGCAAATGAGGCCACTGAAGGGGTCCTGCGGACAGGAGACCCCGCCTTGCCCCACTGACCACTTACCACATTTTGCTCAGTGGCTATCCCACTCTCCCCTTGCCTTTTGTAGAGGGGGCTGTTATGCCCTGTGGTCTTTTCCCAGGAGCTGTGGAAGTCATAGGCCATGAGGTTGATGAAGTCCAAGCTCCTGCAGGAGATGTGGAAGGGGGTGGGAGCAAGGAGAGATAAGGACATTCTCTGTCCCTCACCCTCAGACCACTCCCACTCCCACTGTGGCGCTGGACACTGTCTTCGATGTCCCCTTCCCACCCCCACTTCAGCACCCTCAGGTGTTTTCTGTTCTGTGCAAGAATGCTGGCTCGATTTTGCCATTTTGGAAGCAATCTCAGTGCTTCTGAGCTTTAGCATTACATAAGTCCCCTGAGAATCGCACTAAAATGTAGGCTCTTACTCAGCAGGCTGCATTTCTAACAAGCTTTCACATCCTCCCCTCCAAACACACACACATGCACACATGCACACACGCACACACACGCACGAGCACACAAACACACACTCATAGGATCTCTCTATGTAGCTGACCCGGAAATCAGTGAAGAGCAGGCTGGTTTCAAACTCCTAGAGACTTGCCTGCCCCCAGCTCCTGAGTGCTGGGAATAAAGGCATGCATCACTACACCATCTCTTAGGGTCACAGGGGCTGCAGCTCCCCACACCACACCAAGGAGTTAACATGTGACCTCCCATATTCTTGGAGATGCTTAAGGGCTTTGCTCTCCTTCTTCCTGCCCCAAGGGGTGTTCTTTCTCTATCACCGTGAGTACCGGAGGAAGGGAAGAACAAAGACCACCCAACCATCCCCACACACCCACAGAAAGGATCTGAAATAGTGCAGTAGCCGATGAAAAAAGGGACTTTTCAGATCCGTGATAACATCTGGAAGCCATGCCTGGCAGGCAGAAATCTGCTCCATTTCTGGAAAGCTCAACCACCCTGGGCTGCTCCAGCCTTGGAGAACATGGTGGCTAAGTAGACTGCCTGAGACTCACAGAGCAATCTTGTCCACCTCATAGCCGGCATCCACCTGGCCTCGATCATTCGGTACAGCTGCAGTCAGAAGGAGGCGGTTCTTCCCTGAGGACTGGGCTTCCTCCTAGAAGGCTTTGGCCAAGTCCTGTGGGAAGAATGCAGCCTGAAGGCAGAGGCAGGGGCTAGCAGAACCCTCTATCCTATTTCCTACTCCCCCATAGGTGTTCACACTCTGCAGTCTGAAGCTGATGGCCCTGGGGGCAGAGCAGCCCTCAAACACTGTAGGACTACCACCCCGAGTCACCTGGCAGACTGGCTGACCCTAGTCCCTCCCAATCATACCTGTATCAGGGCTGTGAATCTCTCTTTGTCTACTGCCGGGCTCTTACGGCTTCCAGGGTACTCCCAGTCAAGGTCAAGGCCATCAAAACCGTGAGTGCGCAGGAAACTTAGGGCTGACTTGACAAAGGTCTGCCGGTTGCTGGCTGTGGCTACCATGTCTGTGAACCTGTGGAATGATGGAAGGGGTGTGGCCTCACTAGGGCTAGACTAGAGGTCATTGTCTTGCTCAAGGGCAAATAGGAAAGTTCTCGAGACCCCAGCTGCCTGGGGGCTGCTGGGTATTTGCTGACAGGTTAGTGGCCTGGTTAGGTGGTTTCTAACCCTAACATCAATGCCACCAGAGCTGCTCCAATCCCCTTGCAGTCCCTGAACTGTCTTGCTGTCAATCAGAATTACCCCCACCCCCTCCTCCCCACACAGACTGTCCCCCATGTAGTTAGAAGGGCAAGAAATGAGACTGGCAAGGAACTGGGGACCTGAGGACCCCCTGGTTGAACTCCCTGGCAGGTTAAGTGGAGTGCTGTGTGCTGGGACCAACTTTTGTGCTGTACAGAACTCTACCCAAATCTCCACATTAGCCTGGGGACACCTCTCCCCCATCTCCCTTCCCCAGTGGACCCCAAAGAATTCTTAGACTTCTTGAGAATCTTAAATTTTTACAGATTGATTCTATTTTGATTTACTTTTATTAACGTCTAACTTAAATTAATGGTGTCAATTCTTAGGTCCACGTTGCTGGGAATGCCAAGCTAAAAATCCTAACAATGCTAATAAAAGATATAAGCGTTATTTTTGGAAAGTTGAGTCATAACATTAACCAGATTCTCAAAAAGTCTTATGGTCCAAAAATATTTTCTTAAATGTTTAAAGCTTTAGGAACTAAATATTGTAGATTTTTCTAGATTTCTAGCTTCATTATCACCATAAATAAAAACGATTACAGAAATGGACAATAATTTGGCAGCCAAGCTCAATCTCGCTGACAAGATATCCCATTCAGAACTCAGAAAGGACATTCCATGCTGTCTGAGATCCTTAGTCCCTCTCCCCCTGCTTCCTAGAGGAGGAGACTGAGGCTGGAGAGGTTGGAACTCTGTGCTGTTTCAGATTCTAGGCTTCTGATGAGACTATCTCTATGGCAACTGGGAGCCATGCTTGCAATGCTACCATCCCATCCTGTGGAGGGTCTAGCACTAGAGGGAAAAGCTCTGTGGTCTGGGACCCCACCCCTTGTCATGCTGTGGCCTGACCTATTTCCCTGAAAACTGCTCTGTCTGCCAGTGTGCCACATTCCCATCCATGGGTTCTGCCTCCCACGTGTCCGTGTCTACTCACTTCTAGGTACCAAAGCTCCAGCCTCCGAGGGCTAACAGGGTCTTGAGCTTGGGGTTTCTGAAAACGCAAGAGACACACAAGGCTGAATCTCTCCGGCTCTGAGGACTGACAAGAACAATAGGTGGGAGGGGCAATAGGAACAGGCCTGAGCCTGAACTGACCCTGGGTGCACAGGCAGCAGCAGATCCGGAGAGGAAAGACTTTGTGGGTGACACTGAGGACCCTGTGTCTAACTGGGGCAGCCTCCTATAGATGCATGTACACAATGAACTGAGGATTTAGTGACCAGAGTCCTTAAAGGGGCTTTGTAAGATAGCTGAAGACAGATAAAGTTTAGGAAGTGCCCAAGAGGAAGAAAATTCTACAGAGTAGGAAACAGTTCTGCAATCCTGATCTTATTTGGATTTAAACCAGAAGGATTCTTTACAGTTCTCCCATGGAGCCCCATCTCTTCTAGATAAGCATAGGTTACCAGAGAGAGAGGAGGTGACCTGCCCAGTGTCACACAGCAGGTCAATGGCAGGGATGCAGTGATGGAAGAGTTTTCTGGACAGGGCTGGGGTGGGGGTGGGTTAACCTGCCCACCCATTGCCCCTCTCCCCTCTGGCTCACATCCTCTTTAGGCCGTTCAGCTCCTGGTAGAGAAGTTTGTCATTCTGCTCTACAGTGCTGAGCTGGTGGTTGTTCATTCCAGCAAAAGCAAAGATGACGTGGGTACACAGGTTGGGATCCACATCCCTGGGTAAGAATCGAGCTGCCTCTGTCCGGTATTGGGACCAGTTGGTGAGGTAGCAGACCAGTTTTGCAGCAGAGCCTGACCAGTAAGGGAGGAGAAAAACAAATGTTTGTCAGAAGAGCTGGGGGGGGGGGATTGGTGGCCTCTGCCCCAGGCACACAGTACTCCTGAGTATCTTATGTACCTAGGCTGAGGGCTGACAGCTAGAAATATACACAGCTTACTTTTGTTTCGGCAGATACCTCATGGTAAGGAAAGCATTTACATAGGTTAGTCATGGGGGTCACAGGCCGCCTGTCAATGCCGGAACACTCATTATCAAGTTCATGTCATCGTGGGCAACCTGAGGTTCCTGATTTTGGGACCCTTCTCAGTCAGCATGACCCCTGAGAGGGCAGAGCAGGTGCTAGGATCCTAGTCTCCTGACCCTTTGTCACCTTAAGCCCATAGTCCAGGTCCCTAGGGCCAGGGCCTACAGACAAGTTTCTTATTTGCTCCAGACCCTGAAACCTGCCCGGGCAGCCCTAGGCAGCCCAGTCACAAGACAAGGCCCAAAGGGAGTTAACATGACACATTCTTTTGCCAAAGGAAGAGAGGTGGAACCGGCAAGACACAGCTGGGAATACTTCACAATGCCAATTAAAATGCAAATGTGTGCAGCTGCCGAGAGAGGCATCCGGTTACAGGCCTGGGCTCATGTTTCTTTAATCTTCCATTAAAGTAGTTTGCACTTATCTGTTTGTTATTCCTTGTAGAGAGCCTACATTGATCAATGCCACAGCTAAGGTAAAGGGCCTGCATTATGCAGGGAAAGGTAGCTGCGTCTGGTGTACTTATAACTCATGAAAGGCTGCGAGGGAGGCCCTATGCCCAATGGGGGCCAATGCTGATTGATGGTCCCCTGGAGGGCATCCCTGAGCCAGGATCAGGGCATCAGAGAGCAAGAACTATTGTCTTCATTCCTGCATCACTCAGAACAAACTCCGGGTGCATCTCTTGTTCGGTCCTTGTCCATCTGGACTCTCTGGGGTCACTTTCTGTGTAACTCTGCAATGTATGAGGCAACATTTTATGCCAAGCGCTTGATGGATGGTGAGTATGGTGTCCAGGCTCCGGGACTTCCTTTTGTTCCGACAGGATCTCTTCACCACCTCCCAACTGTCCCTCTCTGTGTCCAGTGCCCATGAGAAGGTGGAGGAGGGGACAGGGGTGTAAGACGACTGTAAGTGGAGACTGTGCTCCTGAAGCCCCAACCCCGAGCACATGGTCAGCTCTAAGAGAGAAGCGCCTTCAGGTAGTCGGTGGCTCTGACAGAAGTAACAGGAACAGAGCTTGTTAGAAGGGATTTATGTATCACTGAACGCCTCATAGCAAAAGGAAGAAGAGACTAGGCCAGAGAAGACACGCCTAGGGCCACGCAGGAGGGAATCAGGAGGTTCTCGTAGCTTCACACTTCAGCATTGCACGTCAGATGCTACAGATACATTCTGTAGAGCAGAGGGGATACAGTGGGCAGGTGAGAGCAGGTCCTGCAGTATGTGAACCTAGTGCCCAGCTCCCTCCTTTTGAACCGGGGACATTTGCCCACTCGATGTGTCTCAGGATAACTCGACGGCTGTTAGCCTGGTGAATGCTGACCTAGGTGAGCTCAGTTCATGGTGCTTACAGACATTAATTCCACATCCACACAAGGTCCTCCTACTGTGCTTCACTGATGGGCCTGGGAAGCGGCTGGGACTTTATTCAGCATGTGGAGAAGTTCCCAGCCTCACTTCTTCCTCATCCGAATTACCCCACACTCCTGCCTGACTCCTCATGTGAGACCAAGAGGAAAGATGGGTACCAGTGATAAGCCTAGCATGTCTAGCATCTTCAGAAAAGGAGCCCAAGGGGCAGTGTCTCTGGACCACTGGCGCCCAGCAAGTAGGAGGGATGGGAAAGGAGACTTGGGAGTCTCAGTTGCCAATGCCTGGGAGATCTCTTAGATCCTTTTTGTTTGACATGGAAGTCCCCTTCTGACTCTCTCTAGCTCTGTGCCCATGAGCAAATGGTAGCACAAATATCCTTGCTGGGCTACAGGGCTGGACCACAGGCCTGGTCTTGCGTTCCCTTACCTTGGGCTCAGAGTCTGTGGGAGAAAAAGTTTGAGGTGAGAACTATAGGAGCTGTGATACGTGCTAGGAAGTGGGCAGATGCTGTGAGACACAGATGAGGGAGCAAGGGGGCTCGAGGAGGACTCGAGAGAAGAGGACACAGCTGGTGCCGTGAGCTGGAGGGAGCTCGCTAATGGGGAGGAGGCCAAAACCTAGAAAACGGAACGGTAGGGTTGTAGGGAAACAAGGACAATGTCAGGGGGATGAGCTTTGAAGGCTAGTCCTCCTAAGTTTGTCAAGAGTTGTGTGTGTGTGTGTGTGTGTGTGTGTGTGTTGGCAGAAATAGAGGGGTATAACAGAAACAGTGTGTGTATGTATGGTGGCTGAAATGGAGGAGTATAATATAAACCGTGTGTGTGTGTGTGTGTGTGTGTATGCATGTGTGTATGTACATGTATGTTTATATGCACATGTATGTGTAGTGGCTGGAATGAAGAAATGCAACAGAAACAGTGTGTGTGTGCATGTATGCATGCGTATGTGCTCACGTATGTGTGTGTGTGTGCCTATGTATGTGCTCATGTATGTGTGTGTATGCATGTGTTTGTGCACATGTGTGTGTGGTGACTGTACTGGAGGAGTATAACAAACACGGGCAGGCTGAAAGAGCAAGCGAGCACTGTCCTCCAACAGGTTCCACTTACCCCACTGGACCATCAGCAGAGTCATCATACCTGAAGCAATCCAAGAAAAGAAGACAGATGTCACAAGGTCATTCTCAGGGCCACAGGCCCAGGCCTCCCGTGCTGGCAGAGGCAAGGCAGGTGCAGGTAGCCAAGGAAAGATGAGTTCACACGAGTCATGCTTTCTCCTTCCAGAGAAGACTCTGAGGAAACTGTTCATCTCTTAACTCAGGCTTGACAGCCAGGGGCCCATTTCTGTCCAGACTTTATCCTGGAAACTGGTGGGATTTTTCATGGCTCTAGGGCTGCTCTAGAGCCTCAGTGGAGGGTGGTGTGAATTAGGAAGACTATGAGAAACCAGCAGACATGGTATGTAGAGAAAAAGCATCTCTGTGGAAGAGAAGGAAAACCCACCCCAGGGCCACACAGAGCCTGGAGACCCCATCTTCTGATCCCCGTGGTCCCAAAGGTTCACATTCCTACTACTTGCCACAAAAGGCTAAGACTGTTCCCAGCAGTCTTGGAGACCCAGGGCTGGAAGACTCCTTCAGAGAATTTGTTTCTACCTTTCTGGTGACCTTCCTGGTTTTTTCTTTTTAATCAAAAAAAAAAAAAATCTGCACAAAATTTTTAAGGAGAGGCTGGGGAGAGCCAGCCTTGGTGGCTACAAGCACTTACTGCTCCTGCAGAGAACCTGGGTTCAAACCCAGCACCTATATCAGGTAGCTTCCAAACACCTGTAACTCCATTCAGAGGGACCTCATGTCCTCTTCTGACCACTGTGGGCACCCGGGTGCATGTGGTATGTATAAACTCACCCAGGCGAACACATGCATAATAAAGTTAATTATAAATTTATTTGTATAAATAATATACATATGTAAAATAATAGTTTTGTATGAACATCTAGAGTTCTTTGCCCCCAGGCTGCCTTCCTGGAGAATATGCTATTTAAAGTTAGGGAAGGTGACCCTTGGCTGGTGCTTCTTGGACTAAATACTCAGGAGGAAAACAAACAAACAAACAAACAAACAAACAACAAATCTGCCCAGTGAAGGGGCTCACTGACTGTATTTCCAGAACAGGGCCTATGGCTTCTGGAACAAGGGCCCTTGAGCTGAAAACAATAGCCAGACCAGGAGTCAGGGCCAGGTGGAATGAAGCAAAGGGCTCCCGAGCCCTTTTGCTTCCTTGCATAGCCTGAGGGAGCCACAGGCTCCTGCACCCACAGCTCTTGAGGCCCAGCCCACTCTCCCTGTTCAAGCCTACGCACCTGCCCAGGCGAGGGACTGCACCATGATGCTGACTCTGAGGGATATCAGGTCAGTGAGTACCAGCTCCACAGGTCCTGCTCTGCTCTCCTCTGACTGGCCTGCAGCAGCACAGCCAGAAATGTTGCAATAGATACCTGAGAGAGGAGAGAGAGAGGAGAGCTGCTGGTAGTGATCTCCAGTGCTGTGGCTTGAGCAAACCTGACACAGTGGTCTTTGGCAATTCTTGCTTTTCTGGAACGATCTAAGGGTGAAAAGTGGGCTTTTGTTTTTGCCAAACCAGGAGGCAGAGAGAAGAAAGTGGGAAGGACCCATGGTCTTCCTGCCTCAGCCATATACGACTCTGCTCTTTGTGCGGGACCGTGTGCGGCCCCTAGGCGCATGGGGCCCACTGCACTCGGGCCAGAAGACTCACGAGCCAGGGCAGTTGTGGCTAGATCAGCTCTCCCGTTCTTTTACAACCTTCGTTTGAACTTAGTTTCTCCCTCTGTAAGACAATCAGTTCACAAAGATAAGCTATTTTCAGTGTTATTTTTACTCTTTTCGGGATAGTTACACCCACGAGAGAGGAAAAAAATCACAACGATTTTCCCGTGTTCTATGACCCAGGTATGTGGTGGCTTCAACAATCGGGCCTTACCGTCAGCTTCTAGAGGAGAACCCGACATCTCTAAAAGAGGTAACTCATTCCTGACACGGGCCTTTTTATTTGCTTGTCTGTGGTGTCTAGTAGGGGAATTGTCACCCTGTTATAGGGTGGCTCCGTTTAAATCACACACATCCTATTGTAATGTTTCCATATGAGTTTCTTTTTAAAAATATTTTTAGTGTTAGTTTTCCTAACCTGTATCCCGACTCTCCCCCATTCTCCCATCCCCTCCCCCAATTTAACCCTTTCTGTTCTTCTCTCCCCATCGATGCTGTATGCAACCATGTTCTCTCTCTCCTTACTCAAATACCCACCACAGACTTTTGCTAATTCCCTGACCTCTATGAGTACTCCAAATGAAACACACACATAGTTCAAACTTTAGTCACAAAAGAGAGGAAACATGTTCTGTTTGCCTTTCTGGGTCTGGGTTACCTCACCCAGAATGCTTGTTTTTAGCTTTGCCCATTTACCCAAGAATTTTATAATTTTATTTTTCCTTAGCATCTGAGTAATATCCCATTGTGTAAATGTACCATATTTTCAAGATCCACTCATCAGAGGTGGACATCAAAGTCGTTTCTGTTTCTTGGCTCCTATGGTACAGCAGCAGTGACCCTGGGTGAGCAGGTTTCTCTGTAGGAGGATATAGAGTCCTTTGGGGATGTGCCCCACTATGGTCTAGCTGGATCCTGTGGCAAATTTATTTCTAGATTTCACACAGTCTTCGAGAGTAGCTGCACCAGTTTTCACTCCCAAATAAGCAACAAATAAGTTCCCCTTTCTCCACAGCCGTGCCAGCATTTGTCACCAGGTTTCCTTTTTCTTTATAATCTCAGTCATTTTGATTGGCGTAAAAAGAAATCTCAAACTAGTTTTAATTTGCATATCACTGATGGCTAAGGGGATTGAGAATTTTAAAAAATAATTCTGAGCCATTTGCATTTCAGCTTCTGAACTCTCTGTTTAGTTTTATGCCCCATCTTAAATTGGGTTGTTTTCTTGATGTTTAATCTTTTAAGTTCTTTGTACAGTGTAGACACTAATCCTCAGATGTATAGCTGGTAAAGAATTTTTTTTCCACGTTTTGTAGGCTGTCTTTGTGCAAATGCTGGTGCCCTCTGCTGTGAAGAAGGTATTTAGTCATGAGGTCTCATTTATTCATCGTTGGCCTTATATAATACAGGCAGTACCAGGATCTTGTTCAAAAACTCCTTTCCCGGGCCAGTGTGGTGGCGAAGTGTGTTTCTTAGAAGCAGCAAAAAGATGGATCCTGTTTTCTAATTCAATCTGTTAGTTTGTGTCTTTTTGTGGAGGAGTTGAGGCCATTACTTATATTCAGAATTATTGCTGAAAGATGTGTATTAATTCCTGTCACTTTGTTGCTTTTGCGTTTTCTCAGAACCATAAAGAGAACTATAAACACACTCAAGAGGTCACAGGGAATACATAAACAAGGCCGAGACAAGCCATCGAAAGATACCCTCCCTCCTCTTTCCCATCTCTCTTCAGCCCTGAACATGCCTCCTTGTTCACAAGTCCCTTTCCCACACCCATGGCCTTTTCTCTTGTGACTCATTTAGTTTAAGGAATGCCATCTGTGTAATCACTGGTGTAGAACTGTCCTCTGGAGCCTGGTAGACTCACCTGACAACAACAACCTCTCTCCTGAGAATCTACAAGTAGCCAATAATTCAGCAGCCCTGTGAGCCCCCTTTGCCCTTGTCTTGACTGATGACAGGCCCAGTTCCGTGCAGGCTCTGTGGAGGCATCTGTAGCTGCTATGATACAGCTGTGATGTATTTTCTTGATTGATGTGGGAGGGCCCAGCCGTCTTGACTTTCTTCAATGATGGACAGTAATGTAGACCTATAAGCTGAGACAAACCCTTTCCTTCTCAAGTTGCTTTTGGCCATGATACACCATTATAGTAATAGAAATGCTAACTAAGCAAGTCCCTTAGGCTCCCTGATCTGCTTCCTTTGCTCCTCATCAAGAGAATTCTACAGAGGAGTGCTGTGAAGGCAGGCAAGCTGGCACTCTTCTTCTTGTTGCTTTGCTTTTTGGAGACAGGGTCTCATTAGGTAACTAAGGCTAGCTCGGAACTCACTATCCTCCTGTTTTAGCCTCTTGAGGGCAGTGTTTGCAAGAGTATCCCACATGGCAGCCACTTCTGCCCACCTTCTGAGGTCATCAGAGATCTGTTGCCTCCAAGATAAACTCTCTCGAAGGTCCTTCAGATGTGTTGGCAGAAATGCCTGGATTCTGGAGGTGCGGATGGAATGGGGGGATCAGAGAGGAGAGCTTCTCTAGGGAGTTATTTTGTCCTCTCACCTCCATGGCAGAATAACTGGTAGCTTTGAGTCACCAAAAGGACCTGACAATGGTGCCTGGCCCCAGAGCTGCTCAAGTGTCCCAGCGTCCCAGGGCCTCTGCATGCTCCGTAGCTGCTGTTAGCATCCCCAGCCACCTCAGTTAGCCTATCCACTCTTTTCTGTTTTGATTGTTGTTGTTTTCTTCCTTTTTTTGTCCTATGTCACTTCTCCAAGGGAAAGTGTGTAAAACCTAGTTTAGACGCAAATAGGCTCCTCGAAACGGCTCTGTTAAGAGTCTGCTGTGGTTTGGGGGTTCCGAATCACATCTCCTCAATATTAAGATGGATAAAGATGTGATAAAGAATCACATCTTCCCTGGGGACTCCTAAGCTACACGTTAGCAACCCACCAGAGAAGGCCTGGTCTCCAGACAAGCGCCTCAGAAAATACAAACATCTCCTGCTTCTTCAAACTCACCCAGGGCAGGTGCTGTGGCTCATATCTGCAAACTCAGCTCTGTCTCTCTCTGAAAACTTGGGCAGGAAGTTCACATGGGTTCAAGGCCAGCCTCAGCTACACAGTGAGTTCAAGGCTAGCTTGGACTACATAGTGAGGCTGTGTCTTAAATAAAAGAAAACAGATAACAACCCCACATGGAACTTCATTTACATCAAAACAAGGAATAAAAACCAGGTCAAAGGCTGTCACTGTTACTGCTCAGAACTGAAATTTTGGTTGTTACACAGTAATACATATACATATGTGGGTTTACACAACACACACACACAGAGAGAGAGAGAGAGAGAGAGAGAGAGAGAGAGAGAGAGAGAGAGAGAGAGAGGAGAGAGAGAAATAGCTCATCTTTCTGGGAGAAACAGAAATGTTATAAAAACAACCCTGCATTGCATTGACTGAACATAAGCACGTTGAGGTGCTCCTGGGGAACTCTGGGTAGAAGTGACGTAGACAGGAGACAGGTACAGCTACTGAGCTGACTTAGAGATTGTGTCTAGACTTTGGCACAGCTCTAGAGTGATCTGCTGGCCAGGCCCTCTCCTAACAGACATCAGGGAACAATAAGTCCCTGGTGGAGACTGGGTGCAGGATGTGGGAGGTGGGACCATAGCTGGCAAAACAGCGGAGGAGGTGTCCCCAGGGATAACCCAAAATTCCACTCAAGAAAAAGGATCTCAGTACACCTTCTGTAGAAGACAGATCTCTGGTACCTCTGACATAATCTTCTCAGTTCCAATCTCCATGCCTTTATTTCCTCGTTCCTTTCTAGGGAAGCCCTCCTCAGCCCTTAAATCTCACAGAAAACCCTCTGGGTCACGTCTTGCTCCTCCCCAGCCAGTTACCTCACACACCCTTTCCCAACTTCTTTATAACTGTTTGTTTAGAACAGCAAAGAAAGCTCTAGTGTTTAGACAGGCAGCATGGGGTGTCCCAGTGGGCTCCCCAAGAAATTACTTCGGGGGCTTTTAAACCTCCCTTCCAATATACTGGGTTGTCCATTACTCTGTCAGGCTCTACTCCCCAGACAAATGCAAACACATCTAATGTGGAATAAAAGGAAGTTTCCAGACCAGCCCCCAGTCCTGACTGCAGAACGCCTCCTCTGTGGTTAGTATCTATCTTAGCTGGCAGAGCTGGCTGATCACAGTCTCCTCTGGCCTGTTTCCTCCTTTGTAAAATGGAGGCAGGACTGTCTTTTTGCTTGTGCTATAGATCAAATGGACAAGGTATGAAAAGGCTTTGTGCCTGGCCAGGACCCAGTCAGGTCTCTTTGAGATACCGCAGTTGTGTTGTGATGTTCCACAGTCCCCCACTTGCTACACTGAAGCTTCTCATCTCTGTAGTTGAGTTGGTCACACCCAGGGCTGGGCTTGTTCTTATGCTCTGTGTGATGTCCTCAAGGGCCAGCAATGGGGTGAGCTCTCAATGGATGTCCCTTAAGTTTTTCTTCCTACAGTGTCAGCTCTTCCCTACACTAGAAAAACATCATTGAACACTCAGTTCCCTAGTCACCTAGTATCTTAGTTAGGGTTCTACTGCTGTGAACA